CCATTATTTTTAAATGGTGCTGGGATAAATCATTAATGGATTAAAAATTAAATGGAAATAAATACTTTATTACAAAATATTAGGACCAAACTAAAGAACTTATGAAATAAATATGGTACAAATAAAAGTCACATAAAACATTATGTTTTGCCTACTTTATTGGGCTATATTTGAAATTTTTTTTGTTTTATTGCTCTTTATTCCTTGAAATATTATTTATATTTGTTATAAATATCGATTTTGTTGGCAGTCTTTGCTTCAGTTGAAATGTCCACAAACTTCATGCGGCAGTTAACCTGAACAAATGCAATGGGGCGAATTTAAAGTTGCATTTGCAATTAATGCCCTGGTCCCCGAGTAACAAAAGCAACTAGCCCCGGTTACTTGGCTATGCATTGAATACATTTCATTTGATTTAGTTGTCCTCGTCACCGATGGAGTGTCACCTGCCCCTCCTCCTCCTCCTCCTCCAGGTGCTGCATCTGCATCCTGGAACCATCAAACTGGTGTTGCTGCCACTAAACACATTGTGCGCAAATCCCAGGCCAAATCCCAGGCGTGCTGTTGTACCTGCTGGGCTGAATTGGAATGGATGCGAGCGATGCGAATGAGGATGAGAATGCACAGATAAAAAAACATATCCAAAATAGTTTGATCTTCCATTGCTCGTTAATGAAAATTTGTTGCTAAAAAATAATATCATACAGATGCAATTTCAAAAATATAAATTTTAATTTTTATTTGAAATTGAGAGTTGGTTTTTTTTTTAACGATAATCTTCAAATTTAATTTCCGAAAAATAGCTTTGCAGAAAAGTGACCAAAAACCTACACTGTTAATTCTATAAACAGAAAAAATCGTCTTTGCAGAAAAGTGAGCAAAACCTGCAGTTTTAATTCCATAACTTTTCTTTCCGCCAACCGATTTCAAAGTGGCATATCTTTAAAGTCTTGTGCCTTAAGCTTCTAAAAATATGCTTTTAAATTTTGCTTTGAAATTGTGAGTCGTTCGTTTTAACGATATAACTCCAAAATTAATTTCCGAAAAATAACTTTTTAGAAAAGTGACAAAAAACCTGAACTTTTAAGTCTATAACTTTTATTTAAAGCATTCGAATTCGGAATTCTTAATATTTTGATACTTTATCAGAATAAAAAGTTTTATTTCGATGTTTATGACATTTTATTTTTTTTTTAAGTGTGGGGATTGCATAGGCATGCGAACTGCATTGACAGCATTTTAGAGTGGGTCACTCGCCAGTGCCTTCGGGGCCAGCAGGTGGGCGTGGTGCCATTTTAGTGGCATGTTTGTGCTAATTTATTACGCCTGCGAAGCATAATGCACCTGAAATTCGGTGCCGATGGGATGCTGCTGCCGCTGCCACATTACAAATCGGCAAACAGAGACACACAGCACAGCTTGGGATAACGACTGAAACGACAGAAGACAGAAGGGGGGAGTCAGATATAGAGGCCTGGGGGAATGCTGCAAATGAATGTCTAATTAATTAAAGTGCGAACTGCACTTTGCTCGTTGTTGGGCTCGATTTGGCAGCGGTCATTAATTGCCGGGCACATAGCAGTAAAAATAGGGTTGGTAAAAAAATCGATAGCCTTATCGATAATATCGATAGTCGAACAATTTAGCAAACATCGATGGTTTGGTTCGCCATCGATACCATCGTTATTTAAAAATATTTTTTTATTATGGTTATTAGAAGAATATTTAGAGTATATTGCAGTATATTTCTAGAAACTTTCAGGGCATACTGCATATCCAAAAGGTTTGAGGTAGACTATGAAGTTAAATTAAGTTTTTTAAATGATTTAAATTCAAATTTATTATAATTTGCTTTGTTAATCAGCAAAAAATTAAAAACTTGGATTTGTTTTATTGAAATTACATAATTTTTTCAGAGGCTAAACAGCTCTCAATACTATCGATAATATCGATAGTGGCTACCATATATAGAAAAAGCTACCGATAAAACTATCGATGTTTTACCAACCCTAAGCAAACATGTTTAGCGTCTGTCTTTGATAAGCTTTTCCCTTCCTATCCATACCAACCTACAAATACCCAAATGATTTGTTTGATGTATTGAAATTGCTGCAGGGTCAGGTTTCTCCGCCCTTCCCCTCAGGAATGGACAAATTTCCTATGCACACACATAAAATGCAATTTTATACGGTGGGCCGAAAATTGTAGCCTAAAATAAAATCATTTTCCTACGGGGCCTGTACTGGGAAAATTTCTAGGATACTTGATATATCATGGAATTATTAACTGGGGAAAATATTAATTTGTTTAAAATAAATAAAAATACCCATGGCTTATACATACCTGCAAATTAGCTGCTTTAAGAAAAATCTCGTTTTTTTATCAGTTACAGTTTGATGTTTTTTAATGTTTTTGGTAGACGATTGATATTGGTTTTAGGCAGGAAAACATATCAACTGTACAAAATAAATATTTATTTTAATTTGAAAACTCACATTAATTAGTATTAGTGTTTGAAATTAATTCCGTTTTCTGTGTGTTTTTCCGTTCTGGCGCATCTGCAGCGCTGAAATTGTCGCAGGATGTTAGACCTGTATCCCTGCACATCCTATTTCCCCCCTGCGCCCTTCCTTTATGCGCACAAAGCTTAACGGGACATAAATAATAAATTTGCAACGTTTGCATTTGTGCAACACATGTGTGTGAGTGTGTGATTCTATGGCTAGACCTGCATGTGTGTCTGTGTATGGGGACATTAACAATTTATCAGGGAATCGAAAAAGCAACAAGCCAATAAAAATCACTCCGTTTGACCGGTGACGTTGCAACTGTCATTCCATTCCCATTGCAACCGACTCATCTGGCTCTTTGATCCTTCTCAAGGAAGGGTGATTTTTTGGGGTACGCTCCCCATGTGTGTCAAAAACGAAATGACAGTGCCATTTATATTAGAAATAAAATGCTGAAATACCCATTATTATTTAGTAAATAAGGTTAAAATTATAAAATGGATATTTAAATAATTAAACACTTAAAAAAAAGCTAAATCTAATTAGAACTTAAAATGGGGTGGCTTTCGAATTTCAGTAGTTTGAGTAACAAAAAAATTAACAATAAACTACAATTTAACGACTTTTTTAATTTATTGCTTATTAGAAGAAGAGAAAATTTCAAGACGACCAAAATCTGATACTCACAATTTTTTATATTTATATTTTATTACTTATTTTTTTGTTTTATAAATCTTGTTTATACTTTTCTTGTATTTTTATTTACCTCTTTAGGAGGTCAACTTAAAGTGACGATTGCACTTCTAACTTGAAAAATGTCCGATACTAAAGCTTGTTATGATAAATGTTTATTATACCATAAAAATTAACTTTATTTTAATTTAATTTTTTTTGGTAAAAATGTTATATCGTCACTTTAGGCTTACCTTGCCAAGAGGAGTTTATGTTTGATAAAAACAATAATGGATGCTTCCAATTGTCACTACGTGGACGGCCGTCAGTAGTGATATCTATAAACATGGAACCCAACCAGGACGGGTGTAAAAGACATTTGACAAAAAAAATTCCAAAAGAGGGTGATTTTAATGGTTGCTGCATTGGCTATCATATATGGTTCTTGTCCAGGCTAGTCTACGAAATTTACTCAATAGGTGGCGTATTGTAAAGATTAATTCAACCTATTAAAGCAAATTTTTTAACTTGCGAATTGAACTAGCCAAATTCTCTTCTTGACTTGATGATGCTTTGGATTCTTTATTAAAATTACTCTACCAGGTTTTGACAGTAATCTGTAATATGTCTTTGTGTACAATAATGACCATTCTTTAACTTTTGTGTTCAGGGGTAACATGCGCTACAAACTATCGAAATATACAATACAATACACCAAATACAACAGATATATTCGGGGACGTCTTCAATAGATTGCTTAATAGACAGTAATAATGCTACAATATGCTCCCCAAAGGAGTCCGAATATGTTTGCCAACGATTTCTGTTCAAAAAGAGTTCAACTTGCTTTGCGTATCACTCAGAATCACACCCGTAATACCTATCTTCGATTTACTTTGTCTTTAACTTTGGCATAACAAAGAGAAAACTAAAAAACTTATTGGGAAAAGAAAAAGAGTGCGGTTTAAATGAAAATTGCATTTATTTTGGCATGATAAATGTAGACGTATAAAATTAAACTAAACATGTACTAAATTAAAAAGTTTATAATCACAAATACGCGTAGCTAACACAAATCCGGTTGTATCCCCATCGCCTTCATACGTGCTCGTAATAATAGTAATTGCTTGATATCACCAGTTGGCCAGGTTCCCCCTCTTTTTTTATTTTCTACCTCCCCTGTCCGGGAAATGGATTTCCCAACCCGAACTGCACCGCTATTTCTATCACAAGGGAATGGTTTCCGTTTCCGCATTTCCACATTCGCCTTAACTTCCGCTCGATTGCACGCTGGTTCCTTTCTGGGTTAAAAATAGGATACCGAAAAAGTAGAGAGTGGTGGTTTCTTCTCTTGCAGAAAGGGAATTTGAGAGAGTAAAACATAGGGACGGAGTGAAGAACGTTGGGAGAAAGTCGTCGTCATCGTCGTCGTCTTCTTTTAAATTCCACACTGAAGGATCTTCTCTACAATTTGTTATGTTTTCAACCTACTTAAGTTCAGACTCTTTTCTGCTTGGTCACAAGAATTATTCCTCAATTTAAGTGAGTATGTGTATGTGGGGTTCTACGTGGGTAATCCTATTTATATATATAGATCTATGTAAATTCCATTTGTTTTGGTATGCAGAACAGCTACTGTATGGGTATATGTATATATGTATTCATGGGAATATATTTAGAATCGTCTCCTAGATACTTTTGCTCTTGTAAGTGTCTCTTGTCTGTATAAACGTACAAAGCCCGAGGGGCGAAAAGTTGAAGAATGCGGTAAAGCTACGCCTGGTTACAATCCATATCCATTCTCCTTTCCAACTACTGTCCCCACCTTCCTTGCCCTTTTTTTGTTTTCTATGTACAGGTGATCTCTAACGTATGATACTAATGATAACCCTAGACTATGAACAAATCCCGCGAATCGTCCGTTTAGCGGATCATGTGCAGTTTCCATCGCAGCACAAAATATGCCACGATGCGCAGGGCAAAGAAGATTCCAATCAGGGCAACGGCATCCACCCAAAACAGAGCATTTTCCATGGACATCTGCTCGAGGAACTTCTTTGGCACACGATAGTGGCAATATATTTGGTTGCACTCCATCTTGGCCCGATCCATTCCATAGATCGCCACCATGGCACCTTAAGAAAAAAGAATCGTTCTATGAGTTTATGATAATATAGCGCAGAGGCTATCAAAACTCACCTTCGAACCCATAGCGCACATAACTGACGTACGTGACCCATTGCAGATAGCCAGGTATGGTGTCAAAGGTAACAAAGAACCCGGAAAACAAAATCGTGGGTATAGTAGTCACGGGACCGAGGAATACGCCCGTTTCGATATTCATCCCCGCCCCGATCAGCAGTCCCAGCGATTGTGCCACCAGTGAGTTAAGCACGCAGATGAGCACAAACATTGACACCCGCTCCAATTCCATCGGCTGCGATGTTAGGTAGTACACCACTAGAACATAGACGCTGGAGAATACGATCTGTAAGAGAATATACCGGATTAACAGTTGTGACTTAAAGAAGATTCTAATAAACCAATTTTAAAAAATTCCGCAACCATACAAAGATACAACTTTTTCAAGGAATTTATTGATTACTTAAAATGAAATAATTTTATTCACCTGAAAAGGCAGGTCCGCTATGGTCTTGGCAAAGTAAAAAGCCTTCAGTGAGTACCAGTAATTGAGATGCTCCCTCACGAACACTGACATTTCAGTGGGAACTGCGAATTAAAGATTCCAGATTATTGTAAAATGTCAAAAAAACTTGGAAATCCATAAACTCACAGGTCAGAATGGTGGGCATCATTGCCGTAAAGGTGGTGAACAGTGAGACGAAGAAGATGCAACCGGCATTGCTCATGATTTTGCTGGCCTCGTTGCCCACATCATAGTAGATCATTCCGATGATTGCTCCCACAATGATGTGTGAGAAGAGCCGCATGTGGGTCAGCATTTTGTCGCGTAGAATGGTGCGAAATGAGCGCTGGAGCAGGATCCAGAACTGTGTCCATCCGCTGGTGGGGAAACCCGTCTTGTTGGGCAGTGTGACGACGCTCTCGTGCGAGTCCAGCAGCGAGGTCATGCAGCCCACAACGGCACTGGGTCCGCCCGAGCCCGAACCCACCGCATTTTGGGTGCCCTTCGAAGAGCTGAAGCTGCAACTGTCGTCCACACCAGTGGTTGGCATATTCACAACGCTGCAGTCGGAGTTTTGAGACTGTTGAGACTCCAGCTTCGGTGGTTTTAGCTCCGCGGGATCTTCGGCACTGGAGCGTTCCAGTGGCGGCTTCTCATCCTGCAGGGTTAACGTAGCTGTCGTATTCTCCGCCCCACTTCCACTGCCCTTGACGATATCATTGTTGCAGCTCTTTTGGGCCAAGGTTTGTACATAATCCTTTTGCGCATACTTTTTGCAAGCTCCACTTTTCACTGCCTGCACCAGTTTCGGTACAGCATCTCCGTACTCGCCAGAGGCCACTTCCAAAACGTAATCGGCAGGATTGTGATACGAAGGGCATTCGTAGCCCAAGGAAGAGAGATACGACACCAGGCCCTTCACTCTGCCCTCGTAGACACATTGTCCCTGGGCCAGCAAATACAGATGATCGAACTTCTCGAAAAGTCGCGCCGACGGCTGGTGAATTGTACAGACTATGGTGCGTCCTCCGCGGGCTAGTGATCTCAGCAGCGAAATGAGCTGGAAGCAGGTTGAACTGTCCAGTCCGGAGGTGGGCTCGTCGAAGAACATCACGGGTGGATTGTTGACCAATTCGAGGGCGATCGATAGCCGTTTCCTTTGGCCACCGGACAGGTTGCATGTCAGGGTGTTTACCGACTCCTTTAGGCCAATCGTCTCGAGGATCTCCTCAACAACGACCACTTTGGCGTAACTGATCATATTCTTGCCCAGCTTGAGGTTGGCGGCCACCATCATGGCCTCGCGAACAGTTAGATTGCCAATCAGCACATCGTCCTGCATGATGTAACAGGAGAGCTTCCGAAAGCGCCGCAGATTTCGCTCCTTGCTGTTGATCAGCACAGAACCACTAAGTTGAGCAGTCCTAGGGACAAAAAAAGGAGTTTGTCAGTCAAAGTTGTCTATACTATTGGGAAAGTCGGTTTTTGTTTTCGCTTTTTGTGCCATTGGAAGACATGATCATTGCTTTTAAAATAAAAGTATTTACTCCTGTGTAAACAAATAATAACACATTTTGTTCAAGACAGCGAGTATCCGGCTCAAAGGACCAAAACAGCTAATTTAACAGCTGAAGGTTTGCCATTAAACATTTTTTATGTTGTTAACCGGAAAGGGGGGCACAAACCGAATAAGATTAAATGTTGAACTCACTTGTAGCCCGCCAGGATGTTCATCAGCGTGCTTTTTCCGGCACCGGAGGGTCCCATAATGGCTGTGATCTCGCCATTTCGGAACTTGCCCGAGACGCTCTTGAGGATGGTCTTGAATCCCCGCCGATGGCCGTCGGCGACCGAGTAGGAGATATCACAGAACTCGATGTCCACCGGCGGTCGTTGGGGCAGATGTGACAGGGCGATGGTGCCCTTTTTCTGGCCATTGGCACTACTGCCACTATTGTTGGCCACCTTGGGCGCCAAGGCATGGTTGTTGCTGCCCAAGCCGCCATTGCATAGGTTGTTCTGGGACCTGAAAATAATCATAGAAGTAATTTTTAATTGTGTAATTAATTATTTGAAGTAATTTTAATATCTTTAGAAGGTTTTTGTTAATTCCTACTTGGGCCTCTTCTGCAGTGCACTGACACAGCATCCGTTCTTGGTCAACTTGGTCTGCACCAAGGACATGGAGCGCTGCTGTTCCATTTCGGCATAGGCCGCGGCATATTCGGATCTCCTGCGATTGACATCCAACTGGGATGATGATGCAGATGCAGCGATTTCGAAGCTTGAGTTCTGGATGCCCTCACTATCCACGCTGACACACCGGCTTAACTTTAGCTCCATAATTAATCCTTATTCCCCTTGTTAGCTCTTCATGATAACGCCCTGAATTGTCAATCAATGGATCAATCAGCAACGTTTATTTCCCCTTTCGTGCTTCCAGTACTCAATGAATGATTCACCCAATCACCCACCTCCCAATCCCACATTGAAAAGGCCAGAGTTCGCTCTGCTTTTTGTTTCATTCATGAAATGTGTGGGCCAAAGTGCCGAGTGCGTTTTCATTAGTGGTCGGTTTGTCGGTTGGATGGTTGGTCGCATGCCGGACCGGACTTCGATTGATAAGTCCGCCGACGCCGACGAGTGCAGCGGACCAATGCCAATTAACATTACAGCTTTTTGGGTGCAAATTTGTTGAGCTAGTTGTTGGTCGAAATTGATTGATTGGGAAGCCCTCGATGTGCACAGAGCAAGTAATAAGTAGGTGGGGATTAAAGGTCAGCGTAACTAGCTGCACTACTTATCACTGGTGTGCTGAGAACTCGGGAATAATAGTAAAAAAAAACAGTTAAGCTTGACACTTGGAAATTGGAGAATGACTATTTAAAATACCACATGGCAATCAAAAATTTTATCAGTTGTTGGCTTTTGGTTCATAAGCGCATGCTAAGCAGTTTATTTTTAAATATCATACTTTATTTAAAGATAAAGCTATCCAAACTTTTATCAATTGTTGGCTTTTGGATCAAAGACGCAATCTAAGCAATTTATTTTGAAAATATTACATTCAGAGTTTTCTTAATAAACTGCATAAAAAGATAAAGCTGGTTGTAAATTCATAAAACTACTATACTCAAAGTTTTCTTAATAGCAATTAAGTTAGTCATTTTACTTAAAGATATATGTAGTTGCATATAAATTTATAAAAATAGTTTTGATTCACTAAGCTTTGCACGCACTTTAAAGTCCGGATATTGTGGTCAGCTAATGTATAATTCTCCTTATAAAGAGAGGCCAATTACCGTGTCTGAATTCCGCTCAAATATGTTTCTATAATTTCGTGCCGCAACTCGAGGCGTAATGGCCAGATATTAAAATAAAATTGGTGGAGAGGGAAGAGTCAGCTGTTTGGCTGCGGGCCATGCTAACTGAATACAGATACAATTGAGAGACTAGTACGGATACGAACACACTCTAATAAACAATTTCAGCTTTGCTCCGCTTGGATTTGATTTGTTTTGTTTTGCTTTGTTTTGCTTTTTTTGCCTTTCGCTTTGGCCTCTTTCAGTTACGATAAATATGCCGCTGTGTGTGTGTGTGTGTGTGTGTGTGTGTGTTTGGGTATTGCGAATCATTTCCCGCGAATATCTCGGTACACGAGCACCGAGAGCGAGTACATTTCAAGTGCGCATGCACCCAGAGTGCATGTTAACGAACCCAACTCAACGAAGACTCGACGAAGTTTGCACTTACACTTTGTCTTGCGAAATGCACTCAGAACAACAGGAAAAAAATGACTGTAAATGATATTCTGTGCAACTCCTTGCTTTTGTCTTTTTAAATTTACCCATTCAATTGGATTCAAATGGAGTCAGTCACGCAATCCCTTCGGGTTCTCTTCATTTCTTTCTTGATTGCTTATCAATCTTAATGCGTGGTAATTGTTGCCAGGTTCGAAGGCATTAATTGATTGATAGCCGGCCTTAAAACAGCTGCTGCTGCTGCTGCTGTAGTAACTTTTTATCTGCTTAGCTACTGTTTCTAGTTCAGAATTTCTAAATGTCCGAACCTTGAGGTCGCGGGGCCAGTTACATTGTTGTGTTCGCACTGATTAGGCACAACCGGAAATATCAGCTGGCGTTAGATCATCCCGCTTAGCGGCAATTAAGCGATTTAAAAATGCCAGGCGGCAGTTCATTGTGATTAATAAAAGTATTAATAAAAGCAAGTGTGCCAAACGATGGTATCTTTCGCCTTTAAGAAGGCTTTATTCATAGGCGAGTCAATTAAAGTTGATGAATTCCAACATAGGAGAGTAAAGTAAAAAGTGTGTATGATAATACACATTTTTAAAGAGACCTCAATTAAATATGCCACAATGGTAATTGTTTGGGAACCATCATGTGTTTTTAATTACACAAATTTGTACCAATTTGTATAATATGTCTACTTGAACTAGATGCCTTATAAAATATTTGTATAACTATTTTAATGTTTTGCACATCAAATGCCACATTTGTGTGCCATTATATGGCTCTAATTGAGCAAAAATAGTTTATAAATTTATTATTGTTTATAATTTATTTAAAGAAGAACATTACTTTATACGCCTCAGTCATTTTGATTAAGAAAATATGTACATATGGGAACAATCATGTGGCTTTAATTCCTGGCCCATTCAAGCTATTAAATAAACTCGCAAGGCCGCCAATCATATAAGGAAACGGATGTGTGGGCGTGGGAGAGGGAGTGGTTGTGGGTGGACTACTCCTGCCACATCGAGGGTCGAAGAAGGTCCTGTCTAGGACCGCTGCTGCTTTTCTTTTGCCCTCGAAGCGGGGGCAGAAGGTCAACATGCCTCGAGTGTTGGCTGGCTGACTTTTGCGGTCGTCCAGTCGCCTCAAGTATGCACAGGTTGTCATTCGACAGAAGGGAAAATTTGAGGAAGGCGCCACAAAGTCTCTGCCTTTTTAGCGTTTTTAAGTTTGCGGCAAACTTCGCGTTACATAACCGACCGGCGTACACGTAGCGTAGACTTGTCCACATGCAAAAAAAAAAATAAAGCAAAAATCACACGTAAAACAGCGGCCACGTGGATGAGCACGGGTAGTTTTCAACTACCTCCCCCTCTATTGTGGGAGCATTTTTCTAATAGGCACATAAATATTTAAGGCTGAGAAACCGAGAGCTGACGGAGTGCCGCACACAGAGACGCGATGTTGCCGCAGGACTAAAAAGGCCGAACGGAGTCCAACTGCTGACTGCGGCACGACTTTGGACAGCTTGGCGGCTTGTTCGATTTTTCCAAGCACGCGGCGCCGCGAGGTCCCCGACTGTCCTGCTACCCTGCTAGGAAAGAAGTCCTTTGACTTAACCAGGAACTTTGGAAAATGGCAAAACTACCGATATTTTTAATTAAAAATTGTAATCAAGGGTGCCACACTACGGTTTTGGAACTATTTCAAAACGTGTTTAAAAATATGCAATACAAAAAACTTCCGGTCTAAAAATATATTGTTGGTATATACAATTATAATATGTTGCATACTTTTAGACACTTTTAAAAGTGATTTCAAAAACTTATTGATTTTTTATTTTTTTATTTTTTTAACAATAATGTATAAGTCTACCCTAAAGTCCCTAAACATTTAAAAATGTGTCTGAAAGTAGGCCACAAAAGAATTCTGGACTACAAATATATCGTAATCATATACAACTACAGTATATTGCATTCTTTGTGTCTGTCAAAAACCTATTCAATTCAATAGGTTTTATATTTCCATACAACGAGAGTACCCTCGATTCGGCGTTTATAATTTTCTGAGCCCCCAGGACCCCTTTTGTCTGCCTTCCTTTGTATTGTTTTGCTTGGTCTTATGGCTTTTACGGCTTTTGCCGTTCGGCGGCGTTTCATTCACTGTTACATGTTTTTTTCCTCTTGTTTCCCTCTCCGCATACTTGTGCGTTTGATTGTGGCTTATTATTTATGGCAGTGCCGACAGCGGGTGAAAAGGGGAGGCAGACTGGGTCGAAAGGACATGTAGGATAGTGTGGCATTTAAGGCTGCTTTCCTGTCCTGTTTCCCATCGAGACCTTGGTCCTGGGGACCAAACAACCTGATTACTGTACAGCATTCAGAGGATGTCCTTTAAAAGACCCCGTCAGCACAGCACAATTTTAATTACATTGCTCCTGCATTGATTTGTTCGTGGGCGTGTTCATTTACCCATAGATTTTCTATTTGCATTTTAATCAAGCAACTAGGAAAAACAGTTCAAGGTTGAATGGGATACCATTTAAAGTTTAGAGCTTAAAGTTTTTCAACTCTAATGCAACTTTAGACCCAAAGTTTTCACAGTTTCCGTTGCCTTACTAGGACACACTTTAAAATTATTTTTACAACTGTGCATATTTCTGGAGGGGGCGTGGTTGGTACCATTTCCATGCCAACACGCGATTTGTGAGACGGAGTCATCGATTTTCCAGGTCTTTAGCTCCTTCTTTTCCGTTTCCATTTTCCGACACACCCTAATGTCGTGGCAGGTGGCATGTTCCAAACGGAAAAAAGATACGAACATTACAGATGCGTGCTAATTTTGACTCGACGGTCTTATTAATAGCTCCTACTCGCATTCCCACACTCCCATTCGCTGCTTTGATTCTTTTTTAATGATTTTACGCAGGATGTGCTAAAAATAGAAGTGTCACCTCAGCGAAAAAGTGACTTGTGACAGTGTGATAAGTTAGCTGATACTTGGTAATCTTTCCACCCACCCATTTCACCCACAGGAAAGCCAGAAGGCCCCTGGCTTGCACAAGCGGAAATTGCCGAGTGGCCGCACCAACGAATGCAATATTATACAGCAGTTCAGGGTCAGAGGGACATAATTCAATTCATTCCCGCTTATAATCCCCACAGCTGGAGTGTGGCAGTTCCCTGGGTAACCAAAAACCCAGTTCTGCTCGAGTCTAATCCCGCATAATGCAATTAAAGGCGAACTACACAGAAAAAACAGGTTTATTATGTTGACTAGATACTCGAAAATAGTAATAAAGTTATTAAGAAAAAAAGATAGACAGCTGCGAGATTCGAACCTGAACCTCATTAACAGAAGACAGTTACTCTATTCATCATCTTATTATGGTTCCCATTTCATTCCAAACTGAAAAGTTTTAGTTTTGGAACAAAAAGGAAGGCTATAATTTCCAAGTTAAGGAAAACAGTCAAGTTTTAGGTGGCGTCATCTGCCGAACTGCAAGCTCTCCCTTCGTTTTCAAAATATGCAGTGACGTCATAATTACAACTTTCTTAATATCTTCTAAAATTATGGTTCGATTTGGTAAATTTTTAGTTTTTTAATAGATATTGACCGAATTAATATAGACCCCTATTCGTGGGCTTTAAATTAAACTTTCGCTAAGCAATGTAAACTTGACATTTTCTCAATTGTCTAGACTCACCCGTGAGTGTTCGGCTTCAAGTCGTTGGTCAACTTCAGCTGGCTGAGGAGCGGCGCTGGCTCCTGTTTGGGATTCGGATTCGCAATTGGGATGCTGCTGCCAGTGGAGAGCGTTGTTAGGGACATGTTACCGCTTGTGTATAAAACGGCGTTGGGTGTTGTTGTGGCCGCCGAATCGGACACTTTGTTGGGGCTTTTGGCCGCCGGCAGTACGACGGCGTGGGAGGAGCACTTGTCCACCAGCGGGACACTGGAGGCCTGTAGCTCATTCATGGCTTTCATTTGTGGGGTTTCGTTTGAGAATCCGTTTAGTTTTGTTTCGTGCAATTGCTATTGGCATATGGCATCAGCATTTGGCTCAATTGATTTATGCTCGGTTATTCAGCTTGTTTTGTGATGTGTAGTGACTTGTGACTCTCGAAGAATGCTTCTATTTAATTGAATTCACTGAGGATTGGCATCTGCATTGGAAGTACATGAATAATGTAGGTTGACTCCCTCTCAGTTCAGCTCTGTAATGAAAGGGAAATGGGAAAACGATGCAAATCAAGCATAATTTAAATGGAGGCATCCCGCCACAGGCATTTCTCTATTGATTTGGCATTCTCGCACACATATTTAAGTGCTCTTAAACACTCTTTCCACACACTACGGGTATATATTACATCACACAGGGCAGGAAGTACAGCCCACCACCCCCAGATTCTAAAGGTCTCGCAAAGCGTTAGCTTGTAGCTTGCTCAATGGCAGCTAGCAGCATGAATTTCTAATTACTGAACAATGCCCAGAGACCCAGACACAGACACAGAGACCCAGACCCAGACCCAGTTGAGAAACGACGACGACACCCATCAAGAACACCCGATAAACGTTGTACGCCACTGAATTCAATGCCAGACACTTGAGGGCTCACAGAATCGGCTTCATAAACAGCTTTACCGGCCAAGAACTGCTGTTTTAGTGCACTTGTACCCTATACCTATACACATGAATCGGAGAAATTGTGGTTGGAAGAGCGCTCATCGCAAGACTAGCAAAGTCCACTGTAATGGGAAGTTGAGAAATGAGGCTGGGTTTGCCTGCACTGGGAACCAATTTTGCAGGTGGCCGTCTGATAAGATTTGTTCGTTTACCGTTCAGCGATGAGAATTCCCACTTACTCCTACACTGCAAGGAAATTCGCACTACAAGTTTACAGTTTACTACATTGTGAAGAAAGTTTGCAAATGATTCTATATAAGTGTTTTATTTATTTATTTGTACACCCTTTTTCTATACGAAACTAAAGTTCAAATATTTCAATCATACATACATACTCAATTACATAGACTTGTTATCAAGCCGCAATTTTAGAAACTTATGGAGTAGGAAATGGTTTCTCCACACTTTTATAAACGAAGTGTTTATTAGTTTAAAGTTTTGTTAGGCTCTTGTTTATGTTTGCGGTAAATACATTTTGCGGTTTATGTTTATCGTATCCGTGCTTTGTGTTTAGGCCTATGGATTTTCTTAGTGTACACGAGTTTTTATTACAGATTTGCTTGCAGTTCGATTCACGATTAGATGGCCGATCCGATAGGCTTCCTGCTACTGGGCGGCGGGTTTCCTTACGCTAATCGCCGGAGATGTAAGGCGCGTAATCGCACAAACTACGGGTTATATGGCCCGGCTATTCGACTGCCAGCTGTTGTCGGCCATCGACTTCTTATCTCAATGCCGGCACTCAAAATTGGCCACGCACAGCTGCGGATGGTCTAATCTGAAGAATCTGAGCAGTCGGACGATGGGAAGTTTCGAATTTGGGGTTCCTCAGAACTTAGATTTCGCATACCTCTCGCGTCGTGGATTTTGTGGGTGGATGACCCGAGATGATAGGCCCTACCCTAACTGCAAAATCAAAGTAGGTCAGTTTGTATGTTCCTCCCGCCGAATCTATGAACTCTGTTCATAGTTCACTCTCTGTCTCTGGCCTGATCTAGTTTTCATATTTCGGATGGTTGCGCGAGTGTTGGAAGATGTGTGTTACATATGTGTCATATGCTATTAACAAATAGCGCTCGGGGAATAAACATTTGAAAACTCATGAGCCAGCAGCCACCACCGGATAATATTTGCAAATAATTCTTACTCAAGAGAGGGCGCAGGCGCTCTTGTCAGATACAAAGGCAGGAAAACATTAAAGATACATATGATGGGGAGGTAAACTCTTGCTGCGAAGTTTATCAGGGTGGTGGGTTGTGTGTTAAAACTGCGACTGCAGACTGCAGGAAAAATATAGAGAGAACCTCAAAAAACGACGCAATTACTTCAAATCAAATTTCTCAAACTTGTGCTCACCTTTGGATTTCGGTTGGGATGAGGGTTTTTTTCGAGAAAAGCAAAACACAAATGGCATAAAACGTGTTTTTGGTCTATTAGCATTATATCTTTTTTGGCCACTGCCAGATGAGATAGTTCATAGTACCGCTCCCTCGCACATTTTTATATACTTTTATAAACACTTGGACCGCTCGGAGCGTTTTTAGATATTTAGAGATACAGAGATACGCGTGCTCGTGCTTTTGTGCCTTCTTTGTTATGGTTGAGGCAGCAAACAGCCAACAAACAAACAAACAAACAACGCCAGCTATTCAAATCATGCGCCACAAGGGCGAGGGCGATGGCGATTCTACGATTTTACGGAAGAGAACGAATTACCAGATGGTAATGTGCGCGCTCCAGGAATACCCAAAGATGTAATTTTTTTTGGGGCGAAACGTGTTTTTATTCAGCGCGTTGCGATCCGTTCCGATTGGACTCGATTCCTGACCAAAAATACCGCTCGAACGCAGGAGGAGAACAACAACATTCAGGCAGCGCGAACGACGAAGAACTGAAAATGAAACTGCGGAGCTGCTGCGACGGCTGCTAAGCTACCAGCTACCAGCTGCCAGCTGAGAGCGCTTTCCGCTCCCGCTCGTTCCTGTACCTGTATCTGTGTAAGCCAGAGCAGACCCGCAGATACTATCAGTGCTGGGGGAGTTCCTTAATTATTGTACCTAAAAATGAGACATTGGAAACATTTCTGTTTTGGAAATATATAAATTAAAACTTGTTGAGGGACTGATTTTTGCATTATTATTATTTTTTATATTATATTATAATATTTATCAAAATGGTTGAGGAAATACATTTTGTTTAACTTTGTAAATAGCAAACAAATATTTTTCAATACACAAATACTATCAGTATTGGGGAAGTACCTAAATAAATGTACCTAAGGCGTAATATCATATAGCTCCCATAGAAATAATCAAAATATATAAAATAACTGTATAATAATTGAGCTGCAAATCATCAAAGCTTCAATGTTATTAGACAAATACGCAAGTAAATCATAATTTTAATGTTTTAAAACATATTTAATTTTTGCAATAGCTGCAAGGGTATATGAACTTCGGCTTGCCGAAGTTTGCTTCCTTTCTTGTTATAATTATCTTACTTAGGTACAAATAATGTATACCTTTCGCAGCACTCGGATACTATTTGGGTTTCGTCAATGGGGAAGTGCGGCTCTCTCGCTTTGTCCAACGTTCAATTCAAACGCTGGCATACACTTAAATTAAGCCAAAGTGTGTGTGAGCGGTGGTGCGCATGGCGTTAATGTGTGCGTTGGCGTTCTGCTGCTCTAAAAACAGCTGACTGTAAACACACACAAAGAGCGGAGGCCCAGTGGGAAATCTAGTGCGATTTAAGTTCAGCTGCACTTGGATTTGATGGAGCAAAACTCCCCAGAGAGAAAAAAGAGACAGAGAAAAGGTACACAGAAAAAAAAGGAGATTCATATGAAAATTAAATAGGCTATTTGGTTGTTTATAGGAGGTAAAATTGATATTACCTAAGGCCAGAATAGGAAGTCTAAATTCTAGAGTAAAATGGAATAAGACAATTACATGACTAAAATATTTTAAGATAAATTTTAGTGATTCCCCGGGTTATATTTAGCTAAGGTATTGCAACTCATGGCTATTAACAAAGAATAAAATGATCGGCAGAAAAATTATTGTTTTAGTAAATTACAAACGATTTATTGAATGTTTATGTGTTGTTCCATTTACCTTATATTCTTATCGGCATCATTTCTCGCTCTGTAATGAGTGGATATCCCTGAAGAGAATCAGCGTTTTGTGCCACTACACTTACAGTATTAGCAGTCTGAATGATAGCGAACTTTGAACCGCACGATCGCAGAACAAAGCATTGAAACCAAATAAAAACAATTGCGATTTCTTCGAAGAACTGTGTTGGGGGGATAAATGAAGCCGGGGAGCTGATATTGCCATGAGTAATCCTCCCCTCAATGTCCACACATGTCCGCTTATTGACTGCCTATCTGAAAACAAAGCCAAAACGTGAGCTGCCGCCTTTTACTCTTCGATTCCGTCACCCCAACCCCATCTCCATTTGTGATTCTCAGGGAAAATGCGCAGTCGGGGAGACGTCTAATCGCAGCGACCTTAATAATAGTTTATTTTCATATCAGCCGCAGATTGTTTTTAGCTACCAATTTAAATTGTGTGCCAGCATTGACCGACAGCTAAGTAATATTAATTTGTGGAAGGCAAATTTAACTCAAGTTGGAAAATTGAAATGCCATTGTACGATAGCCAGACTTGAAATTTAATTCGATTTCAATGGGAATGCCCTATTAGGCTGGAGTGTCATCGAGTGTTATCAGTTCGCGGGATTGCTTTTCATTTCGCTTCAGGTGCAGGTGCAGCTGCACTTTTCTTTAATGCGAAACCTACCAAGTACGTTTGGCAATCAAGCCATTTTGAGTGCATTCAAAGTACTTTCAGGTGTTGTTAGCTATTAAAGTTTGGAATAGCAATGAACATTGGTTCCTGATCAGTTCCCAAAACAATTGTGCATAACGGATTGCCCCAAGTACGTAATTGTTAATGGGTTTTTAACGAATGGAACAACGTTAGTGGGTGGAATACTCGCCAGACAAAGTGGTCAGGGGTTGCTTAAGAATTCAGTTTCAGAAACCAATTGGTGACTAATATTTAAATGCGGCCAGCCGCAACGGAAAAAGCTTATTTAAAAGCATTGCCTGTAAGCTTTGAAGCTTGGCAGAAAGAGATGTCTAGTTCATGAATGCGAAAAAGCTTATTTTGAAAAGTGATGCCCATAAAGCGGGTTATTTGATTTGAAGCAATTTAAACAATTTTTTTTCAAAATATAGGAACTTAATAATAAAAGATAAGGGTCATTAAAGAAAAGATTAAGCACTTAATTACCATCGCAATTTAGTTTATCAAATATTATCAAAATATCATTAAAAACTAAAGTTATGAATCAATTTTTTGAAAATTGTTAGGTTGAAATATAGTCCCATAGTTTGAAAACATAGAAGCTTTAGAAGTACAGTTTTAGACCACCCCTCTGCAAAGTGTTTAATGTAAGAATATCGCCAATTTAAACTCAAACAAAATATAACCTCTTCAAAACTGACATTCGTTATGTTTCTGGTTTATTTATTTTGTTCTCGAATTCGGTTAGTTTAACTTTTTAATTAAAAGAGTTTATGGTACAGATAGCAGCTAGACGTATATTAAAAGTCAGATTCCCACGGACTGGTGTGCGATGAATAACATCCTTCTCTCTAATTTTCACTGGCCAACCTGTTCGCTGCCAAATTGCCAGCGGATCTGGAGCAATCCTCAGGTGGACTGGCGTATCTTAATGCTGTCCCGATCCCGCTCCTGTTCGTCGCTGTCGCAATCACCGCTCTCCGCGGTGTCCTCATCCTCGCCAGCGGAGCTATCCTTGGCGAACAGATGCCTTAGGCAGCTCCGCTTCACGTATAAAAAAGCGCACAGGGCGCAGAGCAGAAAGATCACACCCACCGAACTGCCGATAATTAAGGCTCGAACTTTCCTTTGAGAAGGAACATCTATTAAGAGTTCATGGCTGGGCACCGATAGTTGGGTGTTGGTTCCCACGGCCAAGACCTGCACCTTAAACAGAGTATCCTCCTTGAGGTGACGCAATTGATAAAAGTTATCAAAGGTCTCCGCATGACCAATTAGAAAGTGCTCTGGCTCCTTCCACCAGCGAACGGCATACAGCCTTAATCCTTCCAATCCCTGGACGGGATGTTCCCAATGAAGTAGCCAGCCCTGCTGGTTGCTTGTGGCAGTGAGGTTCCAAGGTGCTCCCAATCCCCCGGCAGGTGCAGTCACTTGACCCAGATCATGTTGCAATTGCTGGGCATCGAAGTCCTCAGCTCTTATTGGAGAGGCTTTAAGAATACATCTTTTTAGTTTTTATTCAAATAAGGAGGATAGAAAAAAATCTTACGCTGCGTTTGGAAGCGAAACTGTTTGCTAAACATTCCATCGCCGTGTTTGTCCTGGCTAAGCACCATGAATTCGTATTCCTTGCCCGGCTGCAGATGCTGCACAGTGGCCTCCATAACTTTTTTATCCATTACACGGAGTGTGCGCCACTCGGGAGCTTCCATGAGTCGATACCACACTGTGTACTCTAGGTTGGGGCGAAGATAACCTGAAGCTTACAATAATGGAGAAATTAGTCAAACTCTTTTTTATTATTATTTCTTAAAAACAATTTTTAAAATCGAACCATTCTTTTAGAAGTTATTGAAAAAGTTTTGATTATGATGTCACTATCTGAAATAGCTCGTTCTTCCGTTCGTAGTGTTGAATCTGCAGTTCGGCAGATGGCGCCACCTAAAACCCTGTTGTTTTTAAATATAACAGCTTCATGTTTTAAGGGGAATGTTGTTTCCCTGTTTGCCAAATGAAATATGGACCTTTTTCCTGCTATAGGCCTTTCCATTAAACTTTTGTTTCGTGCACCTCGGATCCCTTTAACCAAATTCCCATCGACTCAATTTCGAATTTACCTGGTGGCATAAGGCCTCTGCCTATTTCCCCGCCCAATTACACACATTTTCTCACCTGGCTGCCAGCGTATGGTGATGCAGGTCTCCGTGCTGTTGGCCGTGAGATTGTACGGAGCCCGCGGTGCGATGTTCTCAATCATGAGCTCGGCCTCTGCCGTGATGGTGGCCGCCTCATTGGTGGCGGAGCACTCGTACATTCCACGGTCCCCCTCCACCAGACCCGTGATGGTCAGGTTGCCACCGCTGAGACTGAACCTGTCCGCCGGCAGTGGCTGGCCGTCTTTCTGCAAATTAGTCGGATACGGAACGAGAGTCAGATATCTGGGGCCAAAATCACAGCCACACAGAAAAGAAAATTTAAATGATTATACATTTGTTCCTATCATTGTGGTCAATAGTATCTGGTATGTCAGAAACCACAATTTTAATAACAAAAATTTAATATTATACCTAATATTATACTTGATTTCTTATTATATTATAATAAACAAAAAAAATGAATTAAACTACAATAAAAAGCATAACAAAAAATTAAAAGTAATAATAACTATATAAAGTTAAAGTCAATAATGGACTTCCAAGTATCAACTTAATATCGAGCTGGTTTTCTTTTCTGTGCATGGACAGGTAGTAGTGGGAGTATGCATAATTAAAAATGCAATCAAGTGAAACTGCACGCTCGCTCCCCGTTTGCCATTACCATTTTCCCTCGGCCTTTTGGCCATTTTTAGGGAGTGCAAAATGACAATGCGGACTCACCCTGCTCCAGACAATGGAGGGCCGATTGTTTCCGTCCCGGTCGATGGCTTCGCAGGGCAGCTCGGCCGCCTCGCCCAGCTTCTGGATGTAGATGGCCTTGGGCGTGACGCTGAAGATGGGCGGACGGAGCACAATCACGCTGATGACCGGCGATGGTCCGTCCGTGCCGAGGTCGTTGTAGGGAGTGCACGTATA